ACCGCGGTGGACGCCACGGGCACGTCCACCATCCGGCGCCCCGCCACGCTGGGCCGCAGCGCGCGGCTGTAGCGCTTGGACAGCTCCAGCTCCTTGCTCAGGTGGAGCACCTCCTGCCGCATGCTCTTGTTCTTGTTTTCTTCTTCCAGAAATCTCTGTTGGAGGACCGAGTAATCTACCTGGAGCTGGGAAAGCTGGTCTTCCTTGTTCATCAGTTCGTGGATCTTCTCCTTGAGAGCTTGCACCTCGGCTTTCAAATCTCGACTCTTGGCCTCTTCCAGCCGGAACCTGTGTCTCAGTTCGGCCTCCTGGCTCACGGCCTCCCCTTTCTCTATCGCCTTGTTCTTGGCGATTTGGTGCTTGATTTCCTCTAGCTGCTGAGAGAGGAAGTTGGCCTTATCCTGCTCCGTTCGGAATTTCCGCTCCAGCTGGTCGTACTCGTCCTCCGTCTTCATCAGATCCCCTTCCACCACCTCCAGCTGCTGAAGGCGCTTCTTCAGCCTCTCAATTTCCAGCGTCAGCTCCTTGATCTTGTTGTCCTCTGGGCCGGTGAGCTCGGGCCCCTTTCGAGACCTCCCTCTCCTTTCTCGTTCCACTTCCTCTAGACCGTCGAGTCTCTTCTTTAACAAATCCACACTGCAGCTCAATTCGGAGGACTTTTCTTCCTCACTTTTCAGCTTACCTATCAGCTCATCTCTCTCTTTAGTCAAACTGTACACTTTCTCCTCCATTTCAGACTTCAGTTTTAAGAGCTTCTTACTTTCTTCAATTAATTTTTCAGTTACATCCATGACCTTTCCTTGTTCCACCTTAAAATTTTTATTGAGCCCATCGACTTTTCGCTCTTCTTGCTTTATTTTCTCCATCATATTTTTCCTTTCATCAACCAGCATCACAGTAAATGACTTCAACTTCGTAAGGTCGTCTTTGAGGCTTAGCTCAGCCTTTTCCAACCTACTTTCAGAGCACTCGAGCTCTTTCACTCGGCTCTTGACCACCTCCAGCTCATTCAGCAGGTCTTTGGTTAAGTTCTTTTCTTTCTCCAGATTCAAGTGCAGCTGGGAGCATTCCGACTTACTCTTGCTAAACGCTTCCTCCAGTTTCTCCAGCTCGGACATTCTCTTCTGCAACTTCTCCACTTCAAGTTTGAGCTCCTTGCTGTGATGTTCTTCCTCCTGCAGCCTCTTCCGCAGTTCCCGACACTGGGACTCAGTTTTGGTGATCTCCTCGTCTTTACCCTCCATCTCCAGCACGCGCTTTCGGAGATTTTCCACTTCTGCCATGAGGCTGGAGTTGCCACATTCCCCTTTGGCGATTTTGTCTCGTAACTCTTGAAGCTCTTCCTCGGCCTTCTGTAGGTTTCTGTTGGTCTCTTCTAGCTCCTCGATCCTCTGAGACAAGCCGACCAGCTTGAGTCGTAGCTGTCGGTTGTGAGACTCCTGGTTAGCCAGCTTGGCGTTCATCTCTTCATGCTCTTGAGTGAATCTCGAGGCCTTGTGTTCGAAGTCCACCTCCAACTTGAGCAGTTTCTGCCTGTCTTCTTTGGATTTGGAAGTGACCGCTTTGAGCTTTTCTTCTTCCTCCTTCAGTTTCTGGGTGAGATCCTGTACTTTCTGGCTTTGCAGGCCCAGTTGCTCGATATGCATTTGCCTTTCATCCACCAGCATGAGTGCGAAGGACTTGAGTTTGACAAGCTCGTCTCTCAGTTTATTGAGCCGCTTGGCATTTTCCTTTTCTTTGCGGGCTTGGTAAGCCTTTTCTTGTTCAAGGAGCTTTTTCAACCTAGCAAACGAAATATGGCCATGTTAAAAGCAGTAATTAGCCAATACGGTAAAGTCTTAGATATTAAGTAAAAAAGAAAACCTTACCAAAATGAACCCCTTATTGGTTGCGGTAATATCAATTCTGAATAACCATTAATTAAACGAATCAGAAGTGAGAATACTGGCTAATCTCAGGGTAGTAACTTGACGGGGCACGAGGAGGTCTGCTAGGATACTAGTTTCCGTTGTGTGCACATTATACAGGAGTTTTTACTTTATGAATTTCTGCCGCTCTGTAGCTGGAACTCAGAGAGCACTGAGCTACATACCAGACGTTTTTTATTTTGCGACAGGGTCTGTAAATCCCCTGGAACTTGCAATCTCCTATCTCAGCCGCCAAAGTAACTGCGATTACAAGCACGTGCCACTTCCTTTGTGCATGCGCGTTATACTGTCATAAAATAACCAGTAAAGCTAGGTAGTAATAATGTCTATCTACATGGTGCTTTCTGGATTCTGAGCCCTAGTCTCCATGAGACATCAATTTTCGCTGCCATCCTCATGAGGAAAACGAGACAAGGTGACAGTGTCCCCTGCCCTGTCTCACAGCCAGGAAGAGGTGGTGCTGGGATCCCAACTCTGCCAGCAGAACCCTTACTGGGTACCGTACAGTCCCAAGAGAGAAATTTAGGTAAGAAAAAGGAAAGGCCCAGAAAAGAAGAACTTTGGGGTTTTCTCACTTTGAACCCTTCAAATAAACCAATTAGCTGATAGAAGGCAAGAAAGGCTTTCTGAATCCAAATCTGGTCTGCATAAATGCATTTTGGCTGACACCAGAACTGGAACAGAATTTGGTCTCAGTTCCTAGTTCAAAAAAAATTAGAACTAAGTAGAAAGGAGAGCTAACTTGTCATCACTATATAAATGTGGCAGCCACGGGAATTACTGTTTCATGTTTATGAGATGCATTTTCTCTATGGTATTTATGTACAACTTTAAAACTAAGGATTCATCAGAATAACAATCTGTCATTCTTGGGTTGGTCAGTTAACTTGTATCAATGGCTATGGCTAGCATTACAGTTCTATAAACAGATTTAAAACTATATTCACTATGTTAGTGTAAAAGTGCATTTTAGTCAATAATATGTTTATAAGAGAGGCAAGTTATAAACAACCACTAACATTTATGCATTTGTTTTAAGTACATTTTATTCCTTCAGTATATTTTGAGCCTTTATTATTTAGACGCATTTCATGTTGATGACTGGATTAGCTTTTAGCTACGTAAACAGAATTTGTGTCACATTTCACTGTGTAAGGAATGGTTGGACCTACACATGGCAGCTATTCACAATTAAAGCCATTGTGGGAGAAATTTACCATAGAAATGGTTCTGATGGTGTCAAGTATTTTTTAATGGAATTTGTTTTTATAGAACATATCCTTGTGCCTCAGGTAGGCGGGTGTGTGTGTGTGTGTATTACTGGGAACTGAACTGTGAGGTTTTTATGTCTAAAGGAGTAGGGAAAGACTTTTCAAATACTATGGAATCATATGAGCAGTACTTAGTAGTTTTGTCAAACATGGTCCTCATGTATATAAAAGGCATCTGTTAGAGCCAGGCTTGGTGGCTCACCCCTGTAATCCCAGCACTCGGGAGGCTGCAGCAGGAGGATCACCGTGAGTTCGCGACCAGCCTGGGCTACATAGTGAATTCCAGGTCAGTCTCAACTACACAGTGAGACCCTGTCTCAAAAAACAAAAAATAAAACAAAACAAACAAAAAGGCATCTGTTGACCTGAAGTAAGTGACTTTCATGTGTAGAAAATATAAAATTGGTGAGCAATATTCAGGCAGAGGAGGGCAAGCGGAGGTCGGGAGGATAAAGGGATGCGAGCTGACTTTGCAGTTGGTGTTGGGATGGCCACCAAGAAATCTTGTTCTGGGGAAGAAATGTTTGCCATCCCAGAGCCTCCATGTCTTATGCTTATTTCAAGAGTCTCTTAAAAGCTCACCCCTAACTCCAATTTTTTGCCAATACCTAATTTAAAATAAATAGAAAAAGTCTCCTCTGTAATGAGTTAAATGCCTTACTGTTTCTTTTAATTTTCGCAGCTGCCTTTTGAGTAAGGCATGATTGTTATCATTATAAACAAGGAAGTTACTGAAATTAAAGGAAGATGATTCGGAAGGGATAGGCTGGAATTTTAAACCAGATCTTAATGTGATTCCTCAAATAGACCTTGCCTGGACAGCTCAAATCTGCAAGGCTTTGTTTATGTTAACTTCGTCTCTTTCATTTGATTCCTAGAATTGTCAAGTCCTCTGGACTTGACACCTCACACTTCAATGTTGATACCTCACATTTTAGCTGAGACCTCGTTGTGCGTAAAGGGTAAAATGACCCCAATCATGAGTGAAAAGGCAGGTCAGAGGTGCACAGAGCCTGACACCACGCCATTCCGGGGCACGGACATTGCTGTCAGCCCCACGGCCCTGCTCTTTCTTCGTTGCTCCTGAGCTCGCACTCTTTCTCTATCCTATTATTTATCCATCGTTCTTGTCAGGTTTTTTGTTTTTGTTTTTGTTTTTTACTTTTTGAGACAGAGTCTCTCTCATTGTGTAGTTCAGGTTCGCCATGTCACTATGCAGCCCAGCTGGCCTCAGACTCACAGGGATCTTCCTGCCTCAGCTTCCCAAGTGCTGGGATGACAGGTGTGAGGTTCAGCTTCTTGACACTTTCTGAAACAGTGCTGGAAGTCCTCTTCCGTGAGTGTTTTACGAGGTGTGATTAAAGAAAATGCAGGGAATGCTGCTACCAAGTGCCATCCAACAGGAAGGCAGGCTTGTAAAAGCATTGCGGTGTGTCCTCCTCCATCCCGCTCGCCAGACCTGGCACTGTGTGACTTGTGGCTCTTCCCCAAAGTCAAAGGCAACATTGTGAATCAGCTCAGGACATCAAGACAACCGAAAAGCTCAACTAGGCACTCCTGAAAGAGGACTTTTACAACAGCTTCAGGAAGTGGCAACAGCGCTGGATAAGTGTGTTGGGAGCCAGGGGGCGTATTTGGAGAGGGATTAGTGGTAGTGTGTCCTTCACTGTCATTCATTTAAAAAACTAAACGTCAGCGTTTACATTGTTGGGAACGTCTCCTATTCTTAATTCAGTTACCTCTCACCCCTCCATTGCCCTCACCTCCTCCCAAGCCACCATCATGTTTTGCCTGGGTTATTGCAAAATCCGCCTGATCTGACTCCGAACTCCCACTCCTGTCTACTCTCAGCCCTCCCTCGCCCATTCCTCCTCCCCAGAAGCTCGAGTGATGAAAAGCAAAGCAAAGCAAATACTCTAGAAAGAAAAAGAGAGAAGTACACACAGAAAACAGCACAGGATCCATATGGGACAGACACGAACACACTTCCTCTCCATGTAAAGTACATTGTTTTTCCTCATAGCAATCGGCTAGTTAATAATAAAGAAATAATAATAGCACATCGTTGTTAATAAAGAAGTACTTATAGAATACCACTGATCTGCAATCCCTAATACAATAATGAATGTGAGTAATATTCATCGACGCCTCCCAAGAACAGAGAATGGTGGACTTCTTGTATTTATTGCCTCCCGTGAAATACTCTTACCTGAATCACCGCAAGCTCCTAGAGCTAACTACAGACTTCAGGAGAGACGGACGGGGAGAGAAACTGCTGAATGACCTCACAATAATGATCCAGAAAAATCCAAAAAGTGGGCAACTATATGGGACAAAAACCTTGTTTCTTTAATAAATAAATAGCAATGAAAAAAGAGCAGAGAGGGAGACCTATAAATCAACTGAAACTTAGAATACAGAACAATCAACTGTAACCTTTTGGACTCTTTTTAAAACTAATTTTTAAAAGACAATTGGAAAAATATTGTTGATGAATTATTATTTAAGTTAGGTTTGATAATGAGCTGTAACATGAATGTTTAAGCCTTCATCTCTTAAGAAGATATATACTGAAACGTTTATGAATAAAATTGTATATCTGGGATTTATATCAAAACGATCCAAAGGAATGGGAACAGAAGAAACCAGACCAGTCATGAATTCACTGTTGGAGCTAAGTGATGGGTTCTTTACATTATTTTCTTCAGCTTTGTAAATATTTGAAATTTTCATAATAAAATTTTTTTCAATTCCTTTTTAGAATATTTAATTTCCCTTTCTCTTCTGAATTTGAGCTCCTTTGGTCTCTGGTCAAATTTTTCCTACCCTATGGTGCCTTGTAACTCTCACATTTATCTGTGGTTGTGAGTGATTCATTCCTTTCCATGTTAACAATATTAACTTTGTTAGAAACGTTTACTTTTTCTTTCTTTCTGGGATCCATTTGTGATGTTTTGTCAAACACATGCTAGAGGGCTGGGGATTTAGCTCAGTGGTTCTGCCGCCTGCCTCGAAAGCACAAGAACCTGAGTTCGATTCCCAGTATAAAAAAATAAATAAATATGAAAAACCACCCATGCTATACAACGCATCCTTACTGTTCTGCCCCACAGATATTTGTTGTTCGTCTTTCCTTTTAAAGTCTAAGGAGAAACTTCTGGGGGGCTGAAATGGGTAGTGATGGATTGGTTTTCACCTTATTCTGATAACCCATTTTGCTCAACACCATCCTCGGACAGTGTTCAGACTGTGCTCTTTAAGACTCGAGGCCCTGCCTGCTCCATCCATCCTCACTTCTTGGAAGGCAGCAGTTTTGGCTTTCACAGGTCTTTCCCCTCAGCTTTCTACACACTCCTGCTTTTCCATCACTCCTCTGAATTTATCAGCCTTAGTCAGAAGGCAGCAATTGGCTGTGCCTCTTTGAAACGCTGTCCCTTGTCACCATCTTAATCCAGCAGACCCCACTCTGAAAACTGACATCACTGTGAAGCCATGCTAGGCTTGTTGCTCAGCCAGGCCATGCTAATTTCCCTTCTCAGCACATGAGTTTTGCTTTTCTTCAACTCTCCCTGTATGGATATCT